CTAAAAGCTTGCATTTCAAAAAGAAGACAGACCCCCCAAAAAGAGATGGGTTGGAGGGAGGACAACAAGGTACAATTAAGGTAGAAATTAGTTGTGTCATGGTAACAGTGTTTTTATAACATGGGATATATTCCTGTAAGTTGTCTGCTGTTTTCAGGTATCCAAAGATAAATAAAACAAAGACAATTTTATTAGGCTTGCAGGCAGTGTAAACCTATATTTGATGTGTCTGAACCTTCTAGCATGGTTGAATACCTTAGAAATCAGATGTTTAACATACGGGGGATATTATAGAAGAGTTTTGGGCAAAACCAAGAAGATTTTAAGTATGAATACTAGTGAATGTGGTGGGTTTGCGAAAAACATAGGAAGAGTGATTAATCTTTGAAGTGTCATATAATTACTTGTCTAGAAGGTCAACCTGTGGGGAAGGTGCTAGTTTTGAATTTGAGAAGAATGCGTTAAATGCTTTCCTTCCATTTGGCAGTAATTTTGAAAAATGTCTTAAAATGTTAATGCTGTTTGAATTGTTACAGTAATATAACACGTTCCTGTGCATCACCTCATTGTTGGAACTGCCTGCAGGAAGGCTCCACAGTAGTTTTCTGTCCAAAGTTACTGAGCATTTGCAGTGGCTTAAGAGTGCACATAGCTGGTTACTGCGTGTCAACTTATCCATGATACTTTATTTGTATTTCTGTAGATCCATGGAACACATTTTATATGGAAGTCAGGGGATAACAGCTGTCAAAGGAAGAAGCAAGCAGTGTAATTATAGGTAAATGAAAGAAAAGCTTCTGTAATTAAAATAAGGATTAGTGCTTGAACAAAAATTTCTAGCTATCCAAATAGAAACAAGCTGAATTTTGGCATGACTTAAAGTAGAAGTTGCATAAGTTTGTAATAAGCTAAGATAGGATAAGATAGAAGGAAAAATCAAAGGGGTAAATCAGATAGAAAGTGGAGGCATTGTCATTACGATACTGTAGTAGTTACATTTCTTTGTCAGAAGTACGCTATTTTGGGAAGGTTGCTTTTTAAGCAGTTGTCCTTCATAAGTAGTAAACAAAGAAGAAGGTAGGATACAGGAAAACTTGCAGTGGTGTGAGGAGCTGACTGACTTTCTCTGATGCCTAGTGATTGGTTCTAGGTATCTTTTCCTAGAAGCTGAGTGAGCTTGTTCTCTTACTCTTTAATCCATAGTGCATCAGCATATATTGTGTTTATAATGCAGCTTTTGGAATAAACTCCAAGACTTTCCCAAGGAGACATCATAAAAAAAAACTGCGTGTGGAATTTGTAAAGGCCAAAGCATTTCTTTTTTTTTTTTTTTGTACTGATCCTATTCTTTAGCAATCAGCTTCACAAGTTTGACCAAAGATGACTTGTATAAATGGATTAGTTACTGCTTGTAAGACCTTTTGGCAATAGCGATTTTGCTAATTCTTGAAAAACCCTGGAGAGTGAAATTCAGGGCACTGATTGACTAGATTACTGGTTTCCAAAGAATGGGTTCTGCCATGCCTTGCTGGTGTGTGAATGAAGCTGATGTTCAAAAACATCCTGGACTTATTACTTGAGTCCTGTGCAGTGAGGGCCTTAAAGCAACAAGAAGTAGAGTAGAAGATTTGGGAACTTCCATTAACTTGGAAGCATTTATTCGGTCCTCCTGAATCATGTGAAAGTGAAGAATATTTTGTATTTAAAGAACAATGTGAATTTTTCATTTCTGAGGAAAGGATTCTGTGACCAAGGGCAATACAAAAATCAGTGAGGTTTCTGTTCCAGGTATTTCTAACCTTTCTTTCTTGAGGGATGAATCTGCTGTCTTGAACAAAAGGTCAGTGTCTCTCTGTAGGAAAGAGAATTTTAGATAAATGGTACTGCTTAAGGATTAGGGGTGCCTTTGAATAAAACCTCTTTAAGTCTCTGAGACCTGTTGTGTTTGTTTTTTTTTTTTTAAGAAGTGATGCTCTTTTACAGTGGAGGAAAGAAAAAAATTGTGTGCAAAGTCGAAATTATGGAATGTATGGGATACCATATAGAGGTTCTACATAAAAGCAGGTGAAGAATTTTGAAGAAATACCACAGGCTTTGTTTTGCTCAGGAACTGGTCTTTTCTGGGAATGAAAATATGATAGGAGATAAGATATTGCTGATTAGCCTGAGAGCTCAAACTGTTCTGATGAATGAATGATTCCTGGTATATAATAGTTACCTGCTCTGTTTGATAGTACGGACATCTCACCTGTTTCATTGAATCCTTCTGTCATTCAGAAGGGTAGCTTCTTAGTATCTGGAAGAGAAACTTGAGTCCACAAACCAAAAATAGATCAATACCATATTGGGCAGCTACGATGTAACAACCTTCTGTAGGAATAGTGTTTCACAAGCAATTTCTTCCTGATTTCTAGGATTGGGCAAGATGTGTATAATTTCATAGGAAACCAGGGAGTAAGATGAATTTGAGAACAGAATTGTATCAACTCATTGATAGGTAAGTAAAACTGGACTAGAATATTGCTCTAGTTATTGGAGGAAAAGTGTGGCAAGTAAAGTGACCAGAGTTCAACAGCAGACTTAAATATCTGGCTTAACATGTGGTATTCTAGAAGTTTTTAGATATGTTGCATGTGGCACTTGCTTTACAAAACAGATAATTTGCCACCCCAGACAGGATAAGCATCCAGCAAGGGCTTTTTGTCTGAATTGGAGGAGGTGGATGGACTTGAGAAGAGGAAAGGAAAGGATCATATTAGAATGGAAGCTCTGCTTGGCAGATATAATTCTAGATCCAGGTCATCTGTTGAAGAGCATCTTTCAGCTTGATTGAAAGCAGAGGTGACAGCATTTCCTTAATTTAGACCTGTTCTGTTAAGATTGGGAAATCATAATTTTAACACTTCTGCAGTAGTAAAATATACAAAGCAGAGGAGATTTAGCTTAGTGTGCCTTTGAGTATGTCTCCTGTTCTTCAGAATATCTGAACTCTGTAAACTGCACATTATAGATGACAATACACTTTTCCCACAACAGGTTGAAAAGGTGTATGTATTCAGCACTGAGATTTAATTATAGCGTCTAGTGTTCCATATAGAAAAGCATAGGACATGTTCTGAGATCTGTGGATACTGGGAGGATATGGGTACTGGTTCTGTGTGGACCAGTCCAAGTCCAGCATGGCTCACACTGAATCAATGCTAAGGTGTTTGGCTGCTCTGTTGGACTGTTGATGTCTCTGCACTGTGCTTCTCAGCAGTCTTATTTGCTTGGCTGCACTGAGCTGCTTGGCAGTCTTACTTGGTTGGCTCTGCACGTTTAGGATATGCAGCACCAAACAGATGAATCTCCTCCAAACCCTGCACACAGGGGTGCATCATGTTGACACAGGACTCACTTCAGATCTAGGTAGATTTGGGGTTGGTTGATGGAAAAACTGTTACAGTCGTCCACATCATGCTCTTTGTTTCCAGACTGTAGCAGATGGACCCTAGAGCTGGTTTGACAGATAAGTAGCTCACGTCTGACAGAATTTGAGCTTATACTCTGAGTGGTGCAGGTGTCCTGGTTTCCGCTGGGATAGAGTTAAATTTCTTCCTAGTAGCTGGTATAGTGCTGTGTTTTGGATTTAGCATGAGAATAATGTGATGACACACTGATGCTTTAGTTGTTGCTACATAGTGCTTACACTAAGTCAAGGACTTTTCAGCCTCCCATGCTCTGCCAGCGAGGAGGTGCACAAGAAGCTGGGAGGGGGCACAGCCAGGACAGCTGACCCAAACTGGCCAAAGGGACATTCCATACCGTGTGATGTCATGCTCAGTATATAAACTGGGGGGAGTTGGCCGGGGGTCAGCAGTTGCTGCTGGGGGACTGACTGGGTGTTGGTCAGCAGGTGGTGAGCAATTGCATTGTGTATCACTTATTTTGATTGTTGTTGTTGTTGTTATCTTCCCTTCCTTTTCCATCCTATTAAACTGTCTTTATCTCAACCCACAAATTTTATCCCCCCCCCCCCCCCCCCACACCTCCTCCCC